TTTTTCCAAATTTTTACTGGATGGCGTTCGATAACGACAAAAAATTATCCAACACACAAAAATTTAGAGAGCAAGCGTTCATTTTGTACTGGCAAAATTTTAGTCAGCAAAAATTATCCAACACGAAAACATATGATCCCAAAACATATGGTTGCAATTTTTGTAAACAAACAAAATTGAATTTTTCGAGATTTGTTATTTATATGCTTTTTGACTACCTGCTATGTGACTTTATGATAGCGCCAACTAGTTTTTACTTCTAGAAATGTTCCTGGTGAACATTGAACTTTCACTTTGCTTTTTTCTTCCATGGAGGCAACATGAATTTCGGTTTGTTTACAAATAAAAAATAAACAAAGTCAGCTGGTGTGTCTTCTCCTTCCGGTTTTTGCAAGTGATGGCTAATTTCCTGTTCGTTTACTTTTTTGCTTTTTCTTCTCTTTTGGAGATAATTTTCGCTTACTCTCTTGATTTTGATTGTTGGCTGGTGTTGGCTAATTTTGTTATCGAACGCAACTAATATTATCTTGGGGTTTATCACCACCACTTGCATATTTCTTTACTTTCTTTTTCTTTGACATCTTTCCACTTACCGCGTTTTTATAGAAAAATTCAAAATCTTCAAGTCTGCGTTTGGATTTGATCCCCTTGGGGACCACAGCCCTTAGCACAAAACTTCAATCACTCACTCCTCTCGATTTTTTGTGGACTTTAATTTGTATTGAAAAGTTATATTTACTAAAAAAGTAAAAAAATCTTAAATTTTTCCAGCAATTAAAGTAACGGGATACAACCGTTATTGAGTAACTGTCACTTCTATAAAAGGTACATGCAGAAATATATGGGGGGAAACAACACAACTACTTCACTCGGAAGATGCCGAAAAAGTCAGAGAGTAACATCGAAAAGTACGGGGTCGCTTTCTAGTTAAAAATAGCAACTTCTGTCAACTTCAACATAAACTCCAAATTTTGGTTGTAAATCTTTGCTTATTTTGTATGTAAACACGCTCAGCTCACACATGTAAATAACCAAAAATACTTTCAAATTCATTACATTTCTTTTGTTTACAATTTGGTTGTCAAATACACTACAGCTGATCGTTTGACACATTTACCAGAATTTACCAGCAAAAAATTCTCGGACTAAAACTGGTAACTTCTGACAGAGACAGAACCGTATTTACTCCCTTTTTTGTCCTCTCAATAGTCAGAGAACAGAGTACGGGATCCATTTCCAGTAAAATCTGACTGATTCTGACTATTTCTGACTAGTCCGGACTCGTACGGGATCGCAACTATTAAGTACTAAATAAGCGTTTTTAGTAATAAGTTTGTTTAATTATTTCTAATGAAACTTTTGCAAGTTGTGACAGCGAATATTTATAAATCACTTAATTTTAAAAATAAAATGCAAATGTTTGCGATGTTCCAGAGACTATCTGCATATTCGAATGTCCACTATTCGGATATCCAGATTTACGGAAATCCGGTTAATCCGGATATACCAGCAGGTTTTGCAATTCACTTCCGAGTGAATTTGAGTCAAGTTCGCTTTGATCTCCGATTGGCAGGGGTTGAAATTCACCCGGAAGTGAATTGCAGAACCCACCCGATAAAAGGAATCAACAAATTCTAACACACAACAACACAGTCTAACGTTAGGGAAACGTTTTGATTTTACATTAGAATTCTATTGTAGTTCTCGAATCAAAAATCTGGTTAGAGAATTATGGTAGAATCAGTGATGGGCAAAATTGTATTTACTAAGTATTAAATACTAAGCACAAAAGTATTTAGGTATTTTGTGTTGTTGTAAATACCAAAGTACTATCTACTTAGGTATTTAGGAGCTGCTAAATACCCAAGTAAACAATACTTAGGTATTTAGGTGGTGCTAAATACTCAAGTAAAAAGTATTTAGGTATTTAGGAGCTATTAGATATTAAAGTAAGAAAAACTTGAGTATTTAGGAGCTGCTAGATATCAAAGTACAAAAGACGAAAGTATTTAGTAGGCGCTAAATACTCTGGTCCAAAGTACTCATGTACCTTGGGGATGCAAAATACTTCCGCTAAAGTACCAAGGTATTTAGTCGATGGGTAAATACTTTCAAACTAAATACTGTATAATTTAGGAGAAATTTAGAGAAATAACATCCCACCTTACACTCACCTCAACTTACTTTACCACAACTCACTTCACGTCTCTTCAAATCAACTCACCACATACAAACTCACCACACCTGACCTAAACTCACCACACCTACTGCTACACCAAAATCCACCAAATCTTAACTCACCATAGTTGAACTCATCACACCCGTTCTCACCACACCTTACCTAAACTCACCACACCTCAATTTGAGAACTGTTGCGGGATTTGAGAGATTCCTCAGACTAAATCAGGATTTTCAAGACTATTTCTGGGTTTTCGGGACTATTTTGGGCTTTTCGAAGCTATTTCGTAATTCTTTATGAATTTAGGGTTTGAGATTTGCGGAATTCTCGGAACTAATATCGGGATTTTCGAGACGACCTTCACAATATTTAGGTATTTTTGGAACTAGTTTCGGGATTTTTGGGATTTTCGGGACTCTCGGAATTAATAGCGGGATTTTCGGGAGAATTTCGAGATTGTCGGGATTTTTGGGACTCCTGGACTATTTTGGGATTTTTAGAACTAATTTCAAGTTTTTGGGACTTTCGGGACTGTTTCGGGATTTTCGGTACTTTGGGACTTTCGG